GTTCATCTTGAAATCATATCAGGAAATGTTTACATCAGTGCAGTTCTGCAGGAGGACTTGCGAGATCAATCTGAACCTTTTGGCCTCAAAGGATCACTCTGGGATAAAATAAACATCTTCTAGGTCTCCCCTGACTTTTATTAATCTAGGCCTCCTAGCTCATTTGAAAATTGGCCACATCAGCTTTCTTTACACAGAATAGCAATCCATATAAATCTTTTAGCCTCGGCTACCCAGGGCCATACAAGTAAACCATTACAACCATGGTCTTTTCTTAATTCCTAAAGGAAATCAACAATGAGGGAAAAGGCTATTTCCACAAAATGTGGGGCTTTCCATTATATGCTTATGATGGTGCCATAAATTAATCAAAATATAAGATTTGCTCTTTTCAGTATATCCTTGAATTATGTTTGTAGATCAAGAACTTTCTAAAAACATATTTACTATAATAATTATTACAAACATATTTAGAAAAGAGATGAGAACCAAGAAGAACAAAGGATGTAATTTTAAAATAGCTTCAGAAAGCTAGCATAATGTGATAGCCACAAGTTACTTTATACCTCCACAAATGAAATTTACTCTTCATGGGCAATGTGGAAATCCGTAGGAAAAATTCTCACAAAGCTCAGTTGAGGAAATTCGTTGAACGGTGAAACCCATTATTTGAGGGTTGGGGGCAGGGAAAGAGATTGATGGAAGAGATATGACATCATAAAAGAGCTCAGGCACAAGGAAAAGTCCAGCTTCATAAACTTTTTTTTCCCTTAATAATGGGACATTATAGGATGAATTTATATCTAGGATAAACAAAGCCAGTTAGGATATTATAAAATACAGTGAAGAAATTCAATGTGCAATGATGCTGAAAAATCCTAAAATGACTCCAAAAGAAAGAATACGAGATCAACATCTAAGCAATATTTTTATGTCATTAACTCTTTATGAACAATGAAAGACCGATAATAAACAAGAATGAAAAGAGTGGTGTCTGATAATTTTATAAAATTGTCTATTAAGTGGTGTTATTAATGGAAAGGTGCCATCTGGGTCACAGATACAGTGAAGATCCATTTTGGACCATTCAGACAAAGGCCAGATAAAACATTCCTGGGTCCTCAAGGTACCACATTAGTCCCAGATGAGAGAGAAATTAGCTTCTATTTTATTTAAGTCACTGCTATACAGAGTCTTTGTCCCAGGAACCAAATTTGTATCCTGACAAATATTGATGAAGTCTGATTGAAATGAAAAAAAATTGAGGTTTTTTTGATTTATTTGTTTTGGTTTGTTTTGTGTGTGTGTGTGTGTGTGTGTGTGTGTGTGTGTGTGTGTGTGTTTGTTTATATACTAAATGAAAGACCAGGGGCGCCTGGGTGGCTCAGTAGTTAAGCTGCTGCCTTCGGCTCAGGTCATGATCCCAGGGTCCTGGGATAGAGCCCTGCATCGGGCTCCCCGCTCAGCAAGGAGCCTGCTTCTCCTTCTCCCTCTGCCTCTGCCCCTGACTCATGCTCACTCTCTCTCTCTGTCTCTCAAATAAATAAAATCTAATAATAATAATGTACTAAACATATTGATGGAAGAGAAAGGAGATCATCATGCGTTTGGAACCAAATGAAAGATGCCAAGATAAATAGATCATGAAACTGAAAGGTTGTCTTTTGGGACTAGATGGTGTCAGGTTTTAAGGGCCAGACTGAGGGATTTCATTCTAAGATGATTACCTAGGCCAATGGAGGGTTTGGGGAATAAGAAATAAAAGTAGAAGAGTAGACGTCACTAAGAGAGCAACTGCAGTGGTCCAGGAAGCGAGGGTAGGGTGGATGTGGTGAGATGAATATGGAGGTCAAGAAGCAGGGCTCACACTCAAAGGCTGGATTTCGGGAGTAGGGCTACCCAGGAATGCAGTGCAGTTCCCTGCCTCGCCTTCAACAACCCTCTCACCTCTGCCTTCCAACTGTACCTAGATGAGAAATCTAATATTGGAGCCTGTCAAGATCCAACCCTAGCCCTGCCACTTGCTGCATATATGGACTAAGTTAATTTAATTTTCTGTGTTTCATCTTCTCTATCTTCTTCATCTACAAAATGGGATTAATAATAGTCTCTCACTTAGATTCATGACATGCAAAGTGCCTAGAAAAGTGTCCACCACCTGCCATGATAAGCATCAATAACTGATACCTGATAATATCATTACTAGACATTTTCAACATCTTAAATATGCTGTATCTCTCTCACTTCTAAATTGGGCACCTGCTCTTCCCTACACCTGGAATAGACTTTAATTAATTCCAAACTCATCCTCAACTCCCAGCCCTACCGTCACTGCCTCTAGGGGGCCTTTTCTGATCCCATAGATGAGATTCAATTCTCTTGCCTCACTACTCCATACTTACCCTCCAACAGTTATTCCCATCATATTTTCCAATAATCACTTGTTTTGTTTGATTTTCCTACTAGATCAAAAACTCTGTGAAGGAAAGAACTATTGTTCTTCGTTTTGTTCACCCCTGTATCCTCAAGGCCTAGCACAGTGCTTGGAAAACAGTAGGCATTAAATAGATATTAAAGAAATCAATTCACCTAGGAAACTTGTAATATTAGCAAAAATCAGAGAATGTAGTAACTAAGCACTCAGGGCCACATTTTGACTTTCGTGGGCCCCATCCCACATAAATATAATTTATAAATATAAGCATTGTGCCCACTGTGCCTAATAGATAAGTCGGCCCCACAAGCATCAGCAACAGAAGAGTTAAAAGCAATGGGAAAAGTCAGAAGGGAATAGAGGGAGGGCCAGAATTGGAAATTAGCCTGACATCTGAGATGCGGTAGACAATGTGACTGTGAATCGACTACAATGCTTTTATTTGCAAGTAATAGAGTCCTGATTCTTGGATTGCTTCAAATGCCTCCCAACTTTCTCCTTTTTTTTCTACCTCAATTACCATAAGAAATTCCCTTGTTTTTCCCATGCATGAACAGTTGGCTACCAGAATAAGCCTTTTTTTAACTGTGAGCTGGTGTCATTCTCCTACATAGAACCCTCCATCTCATTCAGAGCAAAAGCCAAAGTCCTAATAATGGCCTATCATATTCTTCAGCCCATGCCTACTTAACCCCCAATGCAAACACATACCTCCCTGACCACATCTCCCCTCACTTACTTCATTTGAACAGCAACCTGTTCCTCAAACACGCCAGACGCACTCTGACCCCAGGGCCTTGACACCAGCTGTTCTCTCAACCTCCAAGGCCTTTAATTCCAGCAAGCCACATGGCTTGTTCCCCCAACCCTTTCAAATATCATCTTCTCAGTGAAGCTGTTCCTGACCACCCCATTTAAAACTGTAACCCTCACCACCTTCCCCAGGCCCTGCCCCCTTCCCTGTTTTATTGTTCTTCATAGCACACATATAGCCTGTTTGCTTCTACAGTACTCTATCATTTACTTATTTGTCAGTCTCATCCCACAAAAATATAAGCTCCATGAGGGCAGGAATTTTTTTTTTTTTAATCTGGTTGGTTAAATGCTGTATCTCCAGCATCTAGAACAGGGCCTGACATATGACAGGTGCTCAATAATTATCAAATGATTGTATGAATATTTTGCTTTCTATAGTTACGTATTGTGAATATTTTACAAGAATAAAATGTTCATTTATCCATTCAACAAATACAGATTTAGAGCAAACCCAAGCCCAGGCACTATGTTAGGTGCTGAGTCAAGAGTGGTGAGCCTAACTGGGCTGACTACACTACCTGGGCTCACGGAGCTTAGTCTAGTGATAGATGATCAAAATAATGACAAAATGAGTGTTAAGTATTGGAAGGAAGGGACACAAGTCTACAAAAGTATATCACAAAGAAAGCTAGCCCTACCTGGACTAGATAAAGGGGAGTGGAGCAAAAGGACTTGGGGAGGGAGAAAACCACAGGGGACTGGTAATTAGGCTCCATGTTATTTGATTTCTCTATGATTTTGCTCAGGACTGCCTCTGTTTAGCATCAAAAGTGTTAAGAGTTGCACTCCATACTACCCACTGATGATTCCCTGAGGAAGTAGCCCCTGAGCCAGGAAAGATCCACACCCATTACAGAGGTGAAGGGGTAAAGGCAGGGCAGAGTGGAAGAGGAGAATAGAGCCAGAGGAAACTGTGGCTGAAGATTCTAGAGGTGAAGGACTGTGGTACATTCTGGAACACAGAAAGCAAGGGGAGAAGTGGCGGGAGAAGAGGCTGGAGAGGGAAAGGGTGGCCAGGCTCTGGCAGGCTCTCCAGAAGATTGCAACTTTACCCTAAAAAGAATCAGAAGCCACAGGAAGGACCTGGTTTGGTTTCACTTCATTTTGTTCCATTTGCATTGTGGTGACATAACTGGACACGTATTTTGACAGTATTATGGAAACTGCCTTTGTGGAGAATACTTTACCAGAGGCACCTGACCGGGTGCAGAGAGATCAGTCAGGAGGCAGCTGAGTAGTCCAGGAGGCCAATGCTGGTAACTTGCCCCAGAGTAGAGAGGCAGGAAATGGGGAGAAGTCAACCAGTTCAAGAGATTTCACTACCTGTGTGTTACGGACTGAATTTTGTTCCTCCAAAATTCATATGCTTAAGTCCTCCCCCCCGCCAGCGCCTCAGAAGGTGACTGGATTTGTAGGTAGGGCCTTTAAAGAGGTAATTAAGGTAAAAGGAGGTCATTAGGGTAGGCTCTAAACCAGTGTGCCTGGTGTCCTTATAACAAGAGATTAGGACACACACACACACACACAGAGGGAAAACCATGTGAAGACACTTGGAAGGTGGTCATCTCTAAGTCAAAGGGAGAGGCCCTAAGAGGAACCAAACCTACCCACAATTTTATCTCGCATTTCTAGCATCCAGAACTGTGAGAAAACAAATTTCTAATTGTTCAGGCCACCCAAGCTGTGCTACTTGTTATGGCAGACATTAATACACTATGAAAGATAAAATTTAAGTGAACAATACGACCTCTGAAAAATAAAAATATACTTTATTTATTCTAATTGAAATCAGGGTGGTGTATGATGGTAAAATTCAAACAAAAGAGCGTTTCTTCAGGATCTCCAGAGATGGCTTCTGCAACACATCTGTATTGTCCCTAAAAGGAGGAATAAGAAATACAAGCAAATAAAATGTTAGATGCTTCTATTTTGTAAGACTTTTATAAGAACTTTGTCTTAGTAGAAGGAAGCCATTTAAATTAAATTGGTTATCATTATCTTGGTTTTCTAATGAGATGAAATTTTGTATGCCTTTGAATTCAGCGAGCATAAACCTATTTATTTCCCAATTACAAGAGGATGTTTTTTAATAATTGTTTGAAACAAGCCTGTGAGATTTTCAAACATTCAATATCCTTTAGAACAAAATAGGTAAGGAATATGCATTCATGAAGACTATTTTAAAAATGGTCACGCAAAGTGAAACATGTACAAAATTTCATTGCCAGGTATCTAATACAAATACCTAAAATTACATTATTACTATTCATGGAGGCAGTTCCAGAGTCACACACAGCGGTCGGTCGTACAGTACTTTCACCCAAAGATCATTCACCAGATTAATAATGAGTATTCAAATTACTTTTAGCCATGTATATTAGAGGAAAAACATGAAGTGCAAAAGAACTTTCTTTTGTGTTACTTTTCCATATTTCCATATTCCACAGAAAGAAGAAATACAAAATACCCAAAACTAAGTAAAAGTGAAAAACACAGTCTTAAAACACCTTAATACTGAATAGCAATTTTTGAAGTTGTGAATGGCTTGTTTCAAATTCTTAACACATTTGCTACTTTGCAAAAGATTCTCAAGAAAGTACAAATGACTTGAGCAATACCTTAGAAAATCGTAATCCCGTGAAGGAGAAGGATACTGTTGTATTCACAGTCTCTACAAACAAAATACAAAATACAAAAAGTTATATTGGTCATCATCGGGTGTTTTTTTTTTTTTTAATGTCGTTGGAGCGCACCTTCTACACCGCTGCTAGCAGAGGTGATCCCAAGAAAATTGTAGAAGTAGTGAGTTTTGTATCCTGGCTATGATTCTCCGATGGCACTCTCTGCCAACCCCAAGCGTCTCTCAGTATCAGCCCCTATTTCATCCCTCGGGGGATGCAAAATTTGAAGGCCTACTAGTCTCAACAGTGAATGAATGAGCAAGCAAGTGCTCATAGGCATCATCCCAAATTAGATATGTGCATATTTAATACTGCTGCTCCTTCAGCAGAGTATAACAGATCTTCCTAAAAGTGGAGGAGAGAGTTGGGGGGCAGCCAGGATACCAAATCTCCTTCCAGTCCCGCCACTGAGAAGCCTAAGTAGTCACATTTGAAATGCATGGCCATGGGCCCGAGCCTGCAGAAGCTGTGGAAGACAGAAGTGCAGGAAAAACCACACTCCACCGACCTAATCAGAAACACCGAAGGAGTGAACTTACGGGATCAGGATAGAAAAGTAGAAATGTTTTGAATCTCTAACAAAAGCAATAGTGGCCAAAAGTCTCTTTTAAAGTAATGGTTATTGTTCTCCTAACTAGCTAAAGACAATCCTTAATAGCAAATGAATGGATTATGTCTGTGTGTGTGTGTGTGTGTGTGTGTGTGTGTGTGTGTGTGTGTGTGTATATATATATTTCTATTTTCATAAAAAAGCACCTATTTGCTTCTGGGTATCTCCTTAATAGGGGTGTTAATACACTGAAATCTTAGTTCTTGAGCTCAGTAAAGTGATCTTGTCTTCATGATGTTATGATTTCTTTCATTCAAGGCCAATCTAATTCAAATGTAATAGTTCAACAAGTATTTATTGAAAGCTACTCTTACCAGGGACTGAGGAGACAAGGGCTAGTACACACTGTTCCTTCCCTCAGAGAGTTAACATCTATGGGGATATAGGCATGTAAAGAAACCATTCCAAATACAATGCCATAAAAAGATGTAGCAAGGATAAAAGCAGCATACAGCATTTTTGGTAAGAGTGATGGTTCTGAGTCTGAATCTCAGCTCCTCTACTTACTTGGAGTGTGGCCTTGGGCAAGTCACTTAGCTTCTCTGTGCTTTGGTAAAATGGCAATGGATTATAACACCGCTCTCATAGGATTAACATGAAGGCTATAAGAGCTAAGATATGTATGTGCTCAGAACAATGCCTAGAACTTAGCACTCATTAAATGTTATTAATATTTGGGGGCACCTGGGTGGCTCAGTCAGTTAGGCGGCTGCCTTCAGCTCAGATCATGATCTCTGGGTCCTGGGATCGCCCCTGTTCAGCAGGGACCCTGCTTCTCCCTCTGCCCTTCCCCCAGGGTTTAGGCTCTCTCTCTCAAATAAATAAATAAAATATTTTTTAAAATGTTATTAACATTAAAATGTTTATTAGAGCATTAAATATTATTCCTCCTTTCTAGACCTTCTTCCCATGGCGTCTTGTGAATAACAATGATGTCTTAATAATTATCATTGATATTGTAGTTACTTTATTCACAAGATGCCATGGGAAGGGAATCTAGAAAAGAGAAGGAAGGGAGTTGAATCGTCACAGAGGTTGGGAAGGAAGGAAACGAAGGACATTCCAGGTGGCAGGAAAAAGAGAAGCAAAGGCGAGAAAGTGAAAATCAGTATGACTAATGCATACACCTGCAAGGGGCGCAGCATTATTAAAGCAAAGGAGAAGCAGGAGTGTTAAGAAGGAAATCTGAAGAAGTAAACATAAATGTGCTCAGATTCCACATCTGAGAGAATGGAGGCAATGAAAGAACATCCAAGGGTATGAAATGGTCAGACTGTGTTTAGAAAGATGGGTCACATGACCATATTGTGGACGGATTTAAGGGGGCACTAAGAGTCAGGGAGACCAGTTAGAGGCCAGGAGGCAGTGACGGCGGTGAAGAGAAGAGCAGGTAAATGCCCTCCGTGCCCACCAACTCAGGTGCCCCCCGCACAGACACTTACGGTCTATCTCATTAGCCTGCTGCTTTCCTTGAGAGTACTTCTCATAAACGGAATCTTATTTCATTTGAATGTTATTTTATGATCTTGTTTACTAGTCTATAAGCTCCATTGAGGACAGGGGCTTTGCTTTGGTCACTTTTGAATCTCTAGCTCCTACTGCCTGGTCCCTGAGTCCCTGGCTCAGCTACATAATTTACAAGGCCCAGTGCAAAGTAGAAATGGGGGCTCCTTGATCAAAAAGCAGGAGAGACATCCTATTAAAGGTACAGAAATATAAAGCTTTCTTCCACAGTCTCTCTCTCTAGACTTGCCATGATATTTTTTATTTGCTATGTAGTATCATTTGAAGTCAAACAAAATTTTAAATTGCCATTCATCTTTATTTTGTGCAATGACAGCTTTAAACACAAATATCAGAGCTTTTAACTCTAAGGCAGAATCACTGAAACGACACAACTTGTATTTGGTGGCTCATCCCCAGAAGGTATCTCAAGCTGAGAAAACTAACACAAGCTTGACTCAGGAAATTTGAAAGAAGGAAGAGAAGTTACCCCCAGACATGGAATGATCCAAGGGATGTTCTCTTGGCACAGAGTGAAAGGTGAGTATAGAAGCTCAAGGGCACCCAGGGGGCTGCTCCATGACTGGGGCACCTGCACAAAGCACGGGCCTGACAGCTGCCTAAGGTCTCCCTCCCCCGTGCTGCCAGATGCCTCATGCCTCACATCGGGTCAGAGAAGACAAATCAGGCTTCTTTCCTTCCCATAGGCCTGCTGTCCCATGAGTGACCCTCAAGGGTTTTGCAACCTCTGTGTAATACCTCCATGAGCTACCTGTTGGTGGGGAGGCAGTCCTGCCCCCACCTAATCACCCACTAAACAATGCCGGTGCTGCCAGCCCAGGCGGTTGATCATGGCCACACCCCACTTCAGACACTGCAGGGCAACTTTGACTAACCCTGACCCTCCCTGCATCCAGGCTCCCACCAGGTAGCAGGGGTCACTGGCTGTAAATGGGGAGAGGGGTACCAAGCAGGATGGGACAGTGGGGCATGCACGCAACTCCCCTAGATGGGTCTTGGCTCCCTGCTGCCCACTGCTCTGCTGGCACCCTGGGCCCTGTTGTTCCCCCTGCTTGTGCTCTCCCTCTCTCTGTCTCTGACGAATAAATAAAATCTTTAAAAAAAAATATGCCTTTGAAATATCCATTTATTTATTTTCAAATGTGGGTTTTTTTAAAGATTTTATTTATTTGAGAGAGAGAGCAGGGGGAAGGGGCAGAGAGAGAGGGTCAGGGAGACTCCCTGATGAGCATGGAGCCTGACACAGGGCTTAATCCCAGGATTCTGAGATCATGACCTGAGCCGAAGGCAGACACTTAACCGACTGAGCCACCCAGGTGCCCCTCAAATGTGTTGTTATTTTTTTTTAAGATTTATTTATTTATTTATTTATTTATTTATTTATTTATTTGAGAGAGAGAGAGAGTACATGAGAGGGGGGAGGGTCAGAGGGAGAAGCAGGCTCCCTGCTGAGCAGGGAGCTCAATCCCGGGACTCCAGGATCATGACCTGAGCCGAAGGCAGTCACCTAACCAACTGAGCCACCCAACCAACTGAGCCACCCAGGCGCCCCCTCAAATGTGTTTTTAAAAGAAACAAAGGTGTGTGTGTGTGTGTGTGTGTGTGTGTGTGTGTGTGTGTGTGTGTAAGAAGTGGTAATATTATGGGTAATCTTTATTTTATTTTTGCTTCCGTACATTTTCTAAATATGATATCCTAGAAATATATGACTTTTGTAACAAATACAAAAAAGAAAATTATTTTAAAAGTGGATATGTATGGTACTTACTAATTTGATTCCCAAATTTTCAAGGGTCTCTTGATAGCATCAGTGCTTTGTAAATCAGAATGCCCTGAGCTCTGAGCCCATATACTCAGCTACCAGATGGACATGTTTATTTGAATGTTCCAAAATTACCTTGAGCTCGATATGCCCAAACCTGAACCCATTGCTTTCTTTTTAAAAATCTGCCCCTTCTTCTGCACCCATCATTTCAGATAATGGCATTTCTGCTAATCCCAGTCACTGGCCCTCTACCAGCCCTTGATTTTCCCTAATCTTTGCCTGCCACATCAAATAAATCAGCATATCCTGCCAATTCTGTCTCCAAATATGCCTTCTCTCTTCTCCTCCCCTCTGCTCCCAGGCTGCCATCTTTGTTCAGACTTCATGGTCTCTCACACAGCCTCCTGGCTGGTCTTCCTTCCATCCCAGTTTCCTGCCTCAGCCAACCCCCGCCTCCTTCCATATGGACACCAGTTATCTGCAAAACTGAAAATCTCTGTGGGTCATCCCTACCCACTGATGACAAGATGCAGGCCAATATTTTGTGCATGACTTACGTGCTCACCCCTGCCCCCTTTCCTAGGCTCATCTCCAGCAATTCCCCACAGCACATTCTGCTCCAGCTACAAAAAAACTACTCTCCAAATAAACCATATTCTTTCATGGCTACATGTGTTTGCCTCTGCTGTTTCCTCTCCAAGGAATGCCCTTCCTCCTCCTCTCTGATTTTCTCAGATTCAAGATTTTAATAACATAATCTCTGAAACCTTATCTGAGTTCTGTCACAGCAAATTGAGAACTATATAGTTAAAACTAGGAGCATGTAATTCTATTGGCGTTTATGACATTTCATTATAATTTTTGTTCCCGTGACTTTCCCAGAACAGAGGGACCTTCTGAGGAGGGAGACCCTATCATTCAACTTTGGATCACCAAAGCCTAAATCATGACTCGCTCAAATTAGGTTCAACAGATGTTTGTGGAAGGAAATGAGGAAGGGAGGGAAAAGCCAGCAGACTGGGTTGAGTCTGACACATCTTAGATCTCAAGAAAGTGAAATTTTAAAAATTTAGATAAAATGTCAACATAATCTCACAGAGATTAGGTGGGATTGTGAAACAATTGTTTAAAAAAAAAAAACAACAGTAATCTTCCAAGAGGGTTTTATGTTTTTTTTTTTTTTTCCAAAGAGAAATCATGGTACAGTGGAAGGGTGGGCCTTAAGAGTCATGAGACTACTCTGTTACTAGTTCTCCAAATGGCCAAGGATACATTACTGGGTCACTCCAGGCATCAGTCTCCTCACTTGTAAAAATGACAGGACTGTAAAATCAGGGAAAAAAAGGACCCCTATTACTCACATGAGTATTTATTATTCGAGAACCATACTTCTTGAATTCTTATTCTGAGCACTGTACTAACCTTTTTTTTAATATGCATTTTCTAATTATATCCTTAAAATCCTGTTCAATAGGTTTCACTGTCCCCATTTTACAGATTAGGAAAATGAGGCCAATAGGGGTTAAATAACCCACCCAAGGCCACATTGTTGGTAGGTGGAAAAGCTGGGACAGAGACTCAGGTCTTTCCAACTCTGAGCCCAGACTTAGAAGCAATGCCAGCTCCATAATTTGCATATGGTTTGGGGGTGGCAGGCAAGTCAGAGCCATGGAGAGATGGTTGGCTAGGAGATATATCTCAAAGCTTCACTTGCATAGCAAAAAAACTGATGTACTTAGAAACAATTTTCTTAATGACTGCTAGAAAATGTATAATCAAATTGATATAAATGTCAAAGCCAGTATAAGCCTCATATGAATTTTTATACCACTCTCATTCCATTAATTCCCAGCCCTTATTTTCCACTTTTTGTCCCATCTACATCTAATTTATGCTATGTTGTTAAATTTAATGTATGCATGTAAACTACTAAAATCTTTTTTTTTTTTTTTTAAGAGAGAGAGAGCTGGGGGAGAGTGTGGTGCAGAGTGGGAGAGAGAGAGAGAGAAAGAATCCCAAGCCGACTCCCCACTGAGCAGGGAGCCTAACACAGGGCTCAATCTCACCTGAGAAACCCTGAGATCGTGACTTGAGCCAAAATCAAGAATCAGATGCTTGGCCAACTGAGCCAGCCAGGCACCCCTACCTAAAACCTTTTTTTTAAATAAGAGGGACCACAGGTTAATGATAACTAATTGTATAGGAAAATATTCAACTGCAATAGTAATTTTTAAATGTTAATAAAACAACTGGTGGGGTTTTTTTAACGTAATAGTTTTGTTGTTGTTGTTGTTGTTGTTTTTAAGATTTTGTTTATTTATTTGACAGAGAGAGATTGAGAGAGATCACAAGTAGGCAGACAGGCAGGCAAAGGGAGAGGGAGAAGCAGGCTCCCTGCAGGGCTCAATCCCAGGACACTGGGATCATGACCTGAGCCGAAGGCAGACACTTAACCGACTGAGCCACCCAGGAAGCCCCCAATAGTTTTTTTTTTAACTTCTTTATTTTTTAGATGATAACGTCCACTGTTAACAAGACAGAGATTAAACTACTGTATATAACATTGCTGGTGATATAATGTATAAATTGATACATTCCTTTAGAAAAGCAATTTGGCCTATGTAAACAAAACCACAAATACAGTCAACCCTCTTAAGCTCAGCTATTTCCCGGGGAGTTATATGTAACTCCTTGCAAACATATTCAAATATAAAATATGAGAAAAATTATATACAGAAATATATTTATTACAATATTATTTATAATAGTAAAAATATCATAAGGAAACTAATGTCCAACAGGAGAATGGTTAAGTAAACCAGAGCATACCCATTAAGGGAGATGTTTCATTATGTAATGTTTATACTTTGGTTTTTGAACCACATGGATCAACTACTCAAAAAATTGAATACAATAATTTTTTTTTAAGATTTTATTTATTTATTCATGAGAGACAGAGGGGGGGAGAGAGAGAGAGAGAGAGAGAGAGAAGCAGAGGGAGAAGCAGGCTCCCAAGGAGCAGGGAGCCCGATGCGGGACTCGATCCCAGGACCTCGGGATCATGACCTGAGCCGAAGGCAGACACTTAACCATCTGAGCCACCCAGGCGCCCCATTGAATACAATAACTTTTAAAAAGAAAATTACTGGGGCACCTGGCTGGCTCAGCTGGTAGAGCATGTGACTCTTGATCTTGGGGCTGTAAGTTCAAGCCCCATGTTGGTATAGAGATTACTTAAAAATAAAATCTTAAAAAAAGAAAACTATTATAGTGTAGCATACTTATGAGTACATAAGCAATGCACATACATTGAAAAACCAGAAGGAAATACTCCAAAATGTTTTTAGAAATATGATTCTGTGATATTTTTATTGTTTATACTTCCCAATTTTTGGTAATGTGACTGTATAATATTTATAAACATTGAAACTATGTAAAATGCTAGTTTAAAAATTATTAAGGAAAAATTCATGAGTTTGCAATAAGTAGCCTTTAAGGTCCTAAGCTCTGAAATTTTGTGATTCTGTGAATAACATCAGGGTGGAAAAAGATGGGGGAAGACATTGAAGAAAACACTAGAAAAACCTAGTGAGGTTTTTTTTTTTAATAAAATTTTTTTAATTCCCTTTTTTTTCTTTCCCCTCTGATTCCACCAATCCTATTCCCTTGGCTGTGGTTCAGTGAGTTTCTATAAAAAATAATAAGTGTAATGTTTAGAAAAAGGGATCTATAACCAATGGTAAATGTACAATATTAATCTGAACAAGGTAAAAATTTTAATATATCTTCAAACACACTTAAGTAAGTACCATCCTCACAATTCAATGACATAATTGTAAAATGTTGTTTAAGCCGCTAAAAGTAAAAACTTTGGATGAAAAAAATTATTAGAAAAGGAACTGCACATTTTCAGTGCATTTAATATTCAGAACATTCTCATAAACTATTCTGTTCTATTCTGAAAATAATATGAATTGAATGCTTACCTCCCTTCAGAGCTCTGCAGAAAGAATAAAGATCATCAGATCCTCGGCAAACAACTTCTTTGCGCATTGGAAAATGCATGGAGTGAAAAGATATATAGAGATTGAAATATAATTTTTTAATATCTCTTCCTTAAAAAGAAAAAAAATCCCATTAGTCCTTCAAAGAATAGATTCCTTTATAAATAATAATTAACATGTACTGTACCGTATACTTAAAGCATGCCCAGCACCTTTCCTATATTATTTCATTTAATCATCACAACAACTTACCATGTGGGCATTGCTATCCCTCTGTAACAGATGAGAAAACTGAAGTTCTGAGAGGATAATTAGTGGAATGTAACCAAACAGGATATTCCACAGTAAGAATTATGTATGCTGTGCCTCAAAAGAGAGGAGCCTATGTTTTTGAGAAAACCATCAAACAGAAATGTAAAATTTACAGTTCTGCTAGGAAGTTCACGAAAAAAGACATGGAAAGGAAAGGAAATGAGGATAATCAACTCATGCTCACTTTTTTAGGAGATTTGATGAAAGAGTTCATGGAGAATAGAACAACCTCTTGATTAAAAATTACATGAGTTAGGGGCGCCTGGGTGGCTCAGTCGTTAAGCATCTGCCTTCGGCTCAGGTCATGATCCCAGGGTCCTGGGATTGAGCCCCACATCGGGCTCCCTGTTCAGCGGGAAGCCTGCTTCTCCCTCTCCCTCTCCCATTCCCCTTGCTTGTGTTCCCTCTCTCGCTGTGTCTCTCTCTGTCAAATAAATAAATAAAATCTTAAAAAAAAGAAAATAATATACATGAGTTATCTTATTATTTCTTCATGGTCTCCATAGTACCATTTAACATGGAAAATTCCAGTAAACACTGCATTTTGCTCAACCCTTCTAATTCATTTGGTTGGTCCAACTGGAAAATATGTACAATCTTTTTTATGATAAAAACAATTATTGTTTTTTTTAAGTTATTACCTATTCTTCTCAAAATATTAAAGAAAATAGCAGCCATCAAAAAAAAATGAAATCTTGCCATTTGCAATGACGTGGACAGAACTAGAGGGTATTATGCTAAGCGAAATAAGTCAATCAGAGAAAGACAATTACCATATGATCTCACTGATATGTGGAATTTAAGAAACAAAACAGAGGATCATAGGGGAAGAGAAGAAAAAATAAAACAAGACAAAACCAGAGAGGGAGACAAACCATAACAGACTCTTAATCATGGGAAACAAACTGAGGGTTGCTAGAAGGGAGGGGATTGGAGGGAAGGGGTAACTGGATGATGGACATTAAGGAGGGCATGTGAGATAATGAGCACTGGGTATTGTTTAAGACTGATGAATCACAGACCTGTATCCCTGAAACAAATAATACATTATATCTTTATAAAAAAAAAAACCTATTCCAAAAAACAGAAGAGGAAGAAAAGCTTCCAGATTCATTCTATGAGGCCAAGCACTACTCTGACACCAAAACCAGATAAAGACACTACAGAAAAAGAGATCTATGGGTCAGTATCTCTGATGAATGAAGATGCAAAAAACATCCTTAACAAAATATTAACAAACCAAATCCAGCAACACGTTAAAAAATCATTCACCATGATCAAGTAGGACTTATTCCAGGGATACAAGGATGGTTCATATTCACAAATCAATCAACATGATACATCACGTTAACAAGAGAAAGAATAAAAACTATATGATCATTTCAGTAGATGCAGGAAAAGCATTTGACAAAGTAAAACATCCACTCATGGTAAAAACTCTCAACAAAGTAAGTTTAGCGGGACCATACCTCGACATAATAAAGGCCCTATATGAAAAACCCACAGCTAACATCATACTCCAGGGGGAAAAACTGAGAGCTTTTCCTCTAAGATCAGGAACAAGACAAGGATGTTTACTCTGACCACTTTTATTCAACATAGTACTAGAAGTCCTAGCCACAGCAATCAGACAGCAAAAAGAAATAAAAAGCATCCAAATTGGTAAGGAAGAAGTAAAACTTTCACTATTTGTAGATGACATGATACTATATAAAGAAAACCCTAAAGACTCCACCAGAAAACTACTGGAATTGATAAATGAGTTCAGTAGAGTCACAGGATAAAAAATTAATATACAGAAATCTATTGCATTTCTATACACTAATAATAAAGTAGCAAAAAGAAAAATTAAGAAAATCCCATTTACAACTGTACCAAAAGGAATAAAATACCTAGGAATAAACTTTACTAAGGAGGTGAAAGACCTATACTCTGAAAACTATAAAACACTGATGAAAGAAATTGAAGGTGACACAAACAAATGGAAAAATATTCCATGCTCATGGATTGGGAGAACAATTATTGCTAAAATACCTATACTATCCAAAGCAATCTATAGATTTAATGCAATCCCTATCAAAATACTAAAACCATTTTCACAGAAATAAAACAAATAATCCTAAAACTTGTATGGAACAACAAAAGACCCCAAATAGCCAAAGTAATCCTGAAAAAGAACAAAGCTGGACATATCATAATTGCAGATTTCAAGATACACCACAAAGTGGTAGTAATTAAAAGAGTATGGCACTGGCACAAAAATAGACACAGAGATCAATGGAACAAAATAGCCCAGAAATAAAGCCACAGTTGTATGGTCCATTAATCTATGACAAAGGAGGCAAGAATATACAATGGGAAAAAGACAGTCTCTTCAACAAATAATACTGAGAAAACTGGATAGTCACATGCAAAAGAATGAAACTGTAACACTTTCTTATACCACACACAAAAATAAACTCAAAGTGGATTAAAATACCTAAATGTAAGACCTGAAACCATAAAATTCCTAGAAGAAAACAGGCAGTAATTTCTTTGACATCAGCCACAGAAACATTTTTTCTAGATTTGTTTACTTTGACAAGGGAAACAAAAGCAAAATTAAACTATTGGGACTATACCAAAATAAAAAGCTTTTGCACAGCAAAGAAACCCATCAATAAAACAAAAAGACAACCTGTTGAATAGGAGAAGACATTTACAAATGATAGATTCAATAAGGGATTAATATCCAAAATATATAAAGAACTTATACAACAACACCATAAAAACGCAAAATAATCCAATTTTTAAAATATGACTAAATAATTATTTTGTTAGTGAATTAATAAAATGTTATAAAAATGTCATATTTAGTGAATGATTAAGGTTATTTGTGGTGGCCACAGTGGTGAGGTACTCAAACCTCCCTTTTAAAGAACTGCTGGGAGAAGGAAGTGTAGTTGGCAGACAGCCTTTAGCTGCTGCACCTTCAGATCTATCTCCAGAATCATCCAGAAGCCAAACTCCTATAATGTTCCTATTATGACCAAGGCTGCTCCTATAATAACCAAACTCCACAAGGACACTACAGTCAAACTACCCCTGCCTGTCATCAGACAGGCAATCTTTGCTCTAAGGCTCCCCATTGACCTGGCTCAGAGTATCTCAGGGATTCGTTTTGGTCTGATGACCATCTTACCAAATACTCTTTCCTTTCCTCTCTCATTTTTTTTAAAGATTTTATTTATTTATTTGAGAGAGAGAGAATGAGAGCCAGAGAGCACGAGAGGGAAGAGCGTCAGAGGGAGAAGCAGACTCCCTGCTGAGCAGGGAGCCCTATGTGGGACTCGATCCAGGGACTCGATCCAGGGACTCGATCCAGGGACTCGATCCAGGGACTCCAGGATCATGACCTGAGCCGAAGGCAGTTGCTTAACCAACTGAGCCACCCAGGCGCCCTCCTCTCTCATTTCAAAGGTATCAGACCTGCACATTAATCTGAATTCCCTCCTTGCCTACTCCGGCATTCTCTTCACTTTATTTTTCCCTGCACTTCCCCCAATAAATCTCTTGTATGTCTAATTCCTTTTTTAGTCCCTGCTTTTCAGAGAACCACAAGTACACTGTACTGTATTACTTAATAAAGTAATAATACAATACTACTTAGCCTAGAAGGATACATTCTGCTTCCTGTGTGTAAGGGCAAGAGGTTCACTTGAAAATGAGGTCATTTGTTATGTAAATAATCACTCCTGCCAAACATGGGGGGTGGGGGGCAGATAAAGCACACCACCTAAAGCAGAAAACAAAACCTGAGAAAAGAGGAAAAAAATGTAGAACTTTAGCCAGGCAAAAACTTAGATTATTTCTTTCACCTTTGGCCAAGAAAGTGGAGTAAACAGAGTTGATTATTCTTTCCTCTTGGCTACCACTAAGCCTAAATGCTATCATGTCACTTATCATACCATATTATCTACAGATCTCTCTCTCTCCTACTGCACTGATTTTTTTTTTAAAGATTTTATTTATTCATTCATGAGAGACAGAGGGATAGAGAGAGAGAGAGAGAGAGAGAAGCAGAGGGAGAAGCAGGCTCCCAAGGAGCAGGGAGCCCGATGCGGGACTCGATCCCAGGACCCTGGGATCATGACCTGAGCCGAAGGCAGACGCTTAACCATCTGAGCCACCCAGGCACCCCTGCACTGATTTTTGAAGGTCAAGAGAACATCTTATTTATCAATGAATTCACAAGCCCTGTCACTATACTTGAAATACACTATGCATTTCTAAGTATTTTTTAATGAATACAGAAAGTTTCAAAATAAGTTTAAACAATTAGATTCAAGAAAATTAAAACACAAGTTTATTGTCTATATTTCTGGGTTCTCAGCTGTCTTTTGTCTTGTAAACTGGAGAACTAAAATCAGGGGGAAATGTTTAAGTTTATTTATGTGAAAGCACTTTGTAAAGTATAAGCTCCAAATATAAGTTAGGATGTAAGTGATGTTGGTGATGACGAAAACAATAATGATAATGATGATGATTAGACTTGAAGTTTCCTAGGACTTACAGGCAACAGAGCTGACTAGGAGAGGAAGAACATTTTGTATGTTTTCACAGACCCTCATCCATCCTGATTCCAAGGGGAATACCCAAAGGAATGACAAATTAGAAAGTCTGAACCGACCTATAACTAATAAAGAGATTGAATAAGTAATAAAAAAATTTCCCAACAAAGAAAAGCCTAGGACCAGATGGCCTCACATGTAACCACCACAATTAATGGTGATTAATGGGTAATCACCATTACCTAACTTCATTTTTACTAAACTAATGATTACAAGTAAAATGATAGAGAGGAAAAACAAGACACAGCACAAAACAAAACCAAAAAATTGCCTTCTTTCATCCCATTATCATCATAGTTTTCTCTAGCGGGTCATCTTTATTAAAAAAAAAGTTGTGGCTTGCTCATATGCAGATCTTTGATTAGTGGAAACCCAGCTTTACTTACGAGCTGAATAGTTAATGGCTGACAAAGGATATACCTATTAGATTATTGGAAGTCTCGAGTTATTTCCATTTTTACCCCTATGTCATATGGAATCCCCTCCCCCATGAGTGTGAGCTAGCCTAGTGGCTTGCTTCTAACAAATAGCATACAGCAAAGGTGATAGAGTGACACTTCCATGATTAGCCTACATAAGATTGTGACTTCTATCTTGTTAGCTTGTCCCTCCTGCTGGCTTTGATGAAGAAAGAAGCTATGTTGAAAAGGCCCATATGGCAAGGAACTAACTGACTGCTGTCCAACAGCCAGACAGGAACGGAATACTGTCAACAACCACATGAGCTTAGAAGTGGATTCTTCCCTACTTGAACATTAGAAGAGACTCCAGTCCTGGCTGACACCTTAACTGAAACCTTGTGGGAGATCCTGAAGCAGACAAACTAAGCCATGCCTAGACTACTGACACACAAATACTGCAAGATAATAGATGTGTGCTGTTTTAAGCCACTAAAATTGTGGTACTTTGTTACACAGAAATAGAAAACCAATACATGTACATTTGGAACACAATCATTTATCATTAATACTTCTTGAACTACAAAACAAAAACATTTTGTTGAATTGAATTACAAAACAAAACATTGAACTTACTTGGAATGTAGTAAATATGCAAATATCCCCTGCTTCCCTTCAATGCTATACAGGGTTTAACATCTATTGAAATAGGAACTTTCATGTTATCTAAATGGAAGAATAAAGATAATGTCAATAAATTATTATTAATCATTTCTAGTAAGTAGAGTGTTCTAAGTATCATTCCCCAAAAGATGCCATTAAAATCATGTAATGAGAAAAATTGGGGGTGGTTAAAAACATCTCCCTCCCTGGAGGAGTGATGTCAATAAAATGGCAGAGTAAGAAGTCCAAGACCCACCCCTTCCCCTCACAAACATACCAATTCTGCAACAACTCATGGACAAATTCCCTTTGCGAGAAATCAGAAACTAACTGAAAGTTTCCTGTATCCCAGGAGAATGTGAAATCAGACTCACCAAAGTCAGTAGAGGACGTCCTTTTACTAGACACCCTGCATCGGGCACAGCACAATCAGGAAAACAGCCCCTAGCCCCCAGCTTCACTCAAGAAGCAAGAGGTTAGTTCATGTATCCAGAGCCCCAAGTTTTCCAAGGGGAATACCCAAAGGAATGACAAATTAGAAAGTCTGAACCAACCTATAACTAATAAAGAGATTGAATAAGTAATAAAAAAATTTCCCAACAAAGAAAAGCCTAGGACCAGATGGCCTCACATGTAAAATTTACCACCAAGCATTTAAATAAGAATTAATACCAATCCTCAAACTCCTTCAAAAATTTGAAAGGGACCGTTTCCAAACTTATTTTTATGAGCCCAGCATTACCCTGATACTAAAACCAGACAAAGACGCCACAAGAAAAGAAAATTACAGGCCAATATCTCCAATAAATGTAGATGCAAAATTCTATAGACTGAAGGATAAAAATCACATGGTTATCTCAATAGATACAGAAAATGCATTTGACAAAATTTAATACCCTTTTTGTGATAAAAACTCTCAACAAACTAGGATTAGAGGAAATGGCCTCAACATAATAAAAACCATATATGAAAAGTCCATAGCTAACATTACACTCAATGGTAAAAAACTGAAAGTTTTTCCTCTAAGATTAGAAAGAAAGCAAGGATACCCACTCCTTACATAGCACCAGAAGACCTAGTCAGATCAATTAGGCAAGAAAAATAAATAAAAAGCATCCAAATTGGAAAGGAAGAAGTAAAATTTTCCTTGCATGCAGACATGATTTCTTTTTTTTTTAAAGATTTTGTTTTGGGGGCACCTGGGTGGCTCAGTGGGTTAAGCCACCAGAGTCCTGGGATCGAGCCCGGAGCTGCGGTCCCTGGCTCCGCGGGGAGGCTGCTTATCCCTCTCCCTCTGCCTGCCGCTCCCCCTGCTTGTGCATATGCGTTCTGTCAAATAAATAAAATCTTTAAACAAACAAACAAACAAATAAATAAATAAAGTGGCCTACATACGGTGAAATACTATTCAGGCTTTAGAAAAAGAAGGAAATCTTGCAATATGCTACAGTATCAATGGATCCTATGAACATTATGCTAAAGGAAATAAGCTGGTTATATAAGGACAAATACTGCAGGACTCCACTCATATGAGGTAGTCAAATTCATAGAGTGGTTGCTAGGGGCTGAAGGGGAGGAGGAGATGGGGAAATCCTAACAAACAGGCATAAAGTTTCTTTTTTTTTTTTTAGAGATTTAATTTATTTGTCAGAGAGAGAGAGAAAGAGGCAGACAGAGGGAGAAGCAGGCTCCTTGCTAAGCAAGGAGCCAGATGTGGGACTTGACCCCAGGACCCTGGGATCACGACCTGAGCCAAAGGCAGACCCTTAATCAACTGAGCCACCCAGGCATCCCAGGCATAAAGTTTCAACCAAGCAAGATGAATAAGTTCTAGAGCTCTGCTGTATGACACTGTGCCTATAGTCAACAATATTGTGTACACTTAAATATTGAAGAGGGTAGATCTCATGTAAAATGTTCCTACCACAGTAAAATGAATTTTAAAATATTGTACAAATACAGAAAAGAAAACTCCCCATAACATAAATAGTGTTTAAATGGCCTAATATTGTTGAGGTGGAATTTGAAGATACTGAATTACTTTAAACTGTGTGGAGGAAAAAAACTCCCCCCAAAATATTTTCATAAAATTACTTGTTCTAACTTGGAACTTTTAACCTTTTCCCATCAACATTGCTCTCTTTTTATCCACTGTCTTCACATTGCATATGTTCCATTGGTTCAAAATAGAAAATATAGAGATCTGGTAAATGTTAAGTGAGTGAAAAAATAAATGAATGAATAAGTTAATGAACAGTCTTCCTGAAGAGGGAGTTTCAAGAAAGGTATAGAAGAGTTCATAAAAGCACTGAGGAGCGGCGGTGGGGGGGCGATAACAGGTTTGTGTGGATTTGCCCCTGAATGCAACCCTTAAAATTAATGTTAGGGGTGCCTGGGTGGCTCAGTCAGTTAAGTGTCAGACTCTAATGGTTTTGGTTCAGGTCACCATCTCAGGGCCATAGGATCCAGCCCACAAGGGGCTCTGTGCTCAGCGCAGAATCTGCTTGAGAGTCTCTCTCTCCCTCTACCCCTGCTCACACTCAAATAAATAAATAAATAAATAAATAAATAAATAAATAAATAAATAATAACCTTTTAAAAAATCAATCTTAACATCTCTCACTCAATTGAGTTTACCTGCAACAAAATTCTCATAGAATGAATTATATTAACAGTCATTTCACCTAATCATGGATGTTCACAAATATTTGACCAAAAGATGTTCATCCCTAAATGGTTTATGACCAAAGAAAAAATGCCCAATTTGCAACATGGATGGCCTCTGAGGGCATTATACTAAATCAGACAGAGAAAGACAAATATCATATGATCTCTCTGATATGCGGAATCTACAAAGCAAAACAAAACACTAAATTTATAGATACAGAGAAGAGATTGGTAGTTGCCAGAGGTGGGCGATGGGTATGGACAAAAATGGATGAAGGTGGTCCAAAGGTATAAACTTCCAGTTATAAAATAAGTCCTGGGATGTATACAGAATGGTGACTATAGTTAATAAAACTGTATTGTACATTTGAAAGTTGCTAATAGAGTGCTCGTTTCGGCAGCACATATACTAAAATTGGAACGACACAGAGAAGATTAGCATGGTCCCTGCACAAGGATGACAAGCAAATTCGTGAAGCGTTCCATATTTAAAAAAAAAAAAAGAAAGAAAGTTGCTAATAGAATATATCTTCAAAGTTCTCATCATAAAAGAAAATTTATAATTATGTGTGGTGATGGATATTAACCACACTTACTGTGATCATTTTGTGATACATACATATACCTAATATAATCTTATATGTCAATTATATCTCAATTAAAAATGTACAGAAGTGGTTGAATAACTAAATTTGTATACCTATATATTAAATTAATATGCAGTCATTAAAATGGATTTTTAGAATATTTAATGACATAGATGTTTATCGTATAGTATCAAGTTTTAAAAAAATATGTTTACCCAATAGTATACACAGTATGATTCTGGTGTTTTGTGGTTTTTAATATATACCTTTATATATTTAAAAGAATATTCACCAAAATTAGAATATTGACAGCGGCCAACTCAATTGTGATAGGCTTAGGTTACCTTATGTCTTCGTTTTCACCTGTATTTTCAAAGATTTGCATAATTAATACCCATTATTACCTTTCTTAAGAAGAAAAAGGTTGTTAGGGTATTGAAATGTGGAAACTTTCATATGCATTACCAAGCATAGTGTAATGTGTGTCTTCTTTGCCAGCCATATCCTTGTAGAAAATCCTCAGAGCAAGCAGACCAAAGACTCTGGAGCAGAAGCTGAGAACAAGTTAAAAGCAGTGAATCACCAGAGTCGTGTTACTAAGGGCAATTCTCTATTTCCAATTAAGGTTCCCACAGGTCTGAAATTGTCTGATTAGGAGGACAAGGTCAACAACTCAATTCAATCAGACAAATGTTTAGAGAGCCCCTGTGGGTACTCAGTGTTGGGCCAGGTATCACAGCAGGGTTGGCAGGGGCCAGGGGTGTTAGAGAGGGGAGAACAGAGATATGAGGCTTAGTCTTCACATCAGGAAGTCTATGATTTTTCTGGGAGGACAAGACGAATATACAAAAAAATAATTAGATGTAAGAATCAGAAGATCATATAGCACTGTATGGAATGTGATTTTATTATTTACAAGGAATTACTGGAGGATAGCTTCATTACTTTAAAGTCACAACGTATACGATAAAATCCTCTATTTGGTTTGTTACAGAAAGTGGTGACCAGTTTTAACAAATGCCCAGCACAAGAGGCTCCAACTTCCACTGCGACCATAAAGGTCAGCATTGCTAATCCATCATAGCACTTTTTCCCACTGAGCTCAGCCTCAGAATCTTTCTTAACAGGCAACTGCAGTTGGCACTGGAAATGAAAACAGTGCCCCTCTGAGTGTTGGCATTAAGTATTCTCGGAGGTCTAGGGAGGAAATGTTAGCTGGAGTTGAATCTTCATAGCACATCATTTTACCTCTTTAATGGAATTTCTGATACCTAAATATGCGGTCCCTTTGGACAGGGATGCCCTTGTCATCATCAGTCTAGAAATTCCTTCTTCTCCCTCAAAATGTATTCAAATATCATCAACATTGTTAAGCCTTCCTTGACTCCTCCACACCTCCCCACTCCCACAGTCACAGACACACTATCATTCATAGCACTGGACCATCCTTCAGTGCTCATTTGTAAATCTTTATTACAATTATTCATTTACATATCTGTCTTTTTTTTAAGATTTTGTTTATTTATTTGACAGAGAGAGATATAGCAAGAGAGGGAACACAAGCAGGGGGTAGCGGGAGAGGGAGAAGCAGGCTTCCCACGGAGCAGGGAGCCCGATGCGGGGCTCGATCCCAGGACCCTGGGATCATGACCCGAACCGAAGGTGGGCGTGTAATGACTGAGCCACCCAGGTGCCCCCTACATATCCGTCTTCTTCATAAAGATAGCACAACCCTTCAGGGCAGAAAGAATGTCTCTGTTTTTCATGTCTCTGGCACATAGCACAGTGCTAGACACATGGCAGATAACA